GGATGAAGAAATTTCCCACCAACAGATGGGAAGAAAGAAAGAGACACAGATGGAGGGATCAGTGGTTTTATCACAATAACAAATGCAGAATGAACAGGATACACAGCCTTATAATACATCAATACTTCAAATAATTCATCTCAATCACATCAAGTGCATATCTGACCAACTCTGTAGGTAAAAATTGGTTATTTGGTAGAGTAATGTGTGCAGGATTTTTCTTGCATGCCTGTGCTATTTGATTACAATCAAACCACCCACTTGTTTATACCACCAAGTGAGTCACAATGTGTACACATTTAAATTTACTCATTTGGCAGACTCTTCTATCCCAAGTGACTCTCAAGTGAGGGATAACACTAAAGCTTCAGTGCAGTAGGAGACTTTGGTTTACATATTAAGTACTACATCTGTTGAATATGTGTAGCGTATATATCCTCACCATGCTCCTCCAGATAGGCTTGCAGTCGAGCGATGAGCTCTCCTTTGTTTCCTTTGGTCTCCAAACCTCGGGCCTCACACTCCTGCCTCAGTTCAGCAAGCTAAAACAGCAAGAGAACCAGAAACAGCACTTTAATTAAACAAGCAAACAAGCACCAATTTTGCCTTGCTGTCATCTCTTTTAGTTTACAATAGATTCTTCAATGTAAGGTAGTTCCAAATAAAACTGCTCAAACGGAGATCTGTGGATTATCAAGAGAACCCTGTACAAAGTTTCTACAAAGCTGTGTTGCAATGATTTGAGCACTAGAATCAAAATCTACTTTATCTTCCTGGGGTTGGGATTGTAGCAGAAACTGACAATGGGTGATAAATTAAAAGAAAAATCTGAATACATGAGTGGAAAAACAGGATGGCAATGCCCCCATTCCATAGGGCATAAGGAGGTACTGTATGGTTTAATGAGAAGGACAATGATATGAATCATGTTATGGCCTACGTAGTCACTAGATCTCAACCTCGTTTAACACCTGTGGGAGATTTTGGGTCAACATGTAGGACAGCGCTCTCCACCACAACCATCATCATCAAAAAACCAAATGAGGGAATATCTTTTGGAAGAATGGTGTCCATCCCTCCATTAGAGTTCAGTGGCTTGTAGAGTTGTTCTGGCGGTTCGTTGTGGCCCAACACCTCACCAAGACACAACTGCGGGTCACATCTGTATATTTACTAGGTGAATATAGTGTTTTTATCAATCTCTTCTCCTCTACTTTGAAGCTGCTGTAATAAGTGAGTTCCCCCCTGTTGGTATCAATGAAGTTTCATCTCATCTTACGCAGACGATCAATGGAGGTCAAACACTTATGCTTGTTTAGCGGTGTCGTTACTTTAATTGAATAAAACTGGCGGGACACTGTATCTAGCAACAGGAGCTCCATTTAAAGTTTTAATACAATACTATATTTTATCTGTTAATTTTAATTAATCTTCTGATGGCTTAATGTTGTGTATTTTAACTTAATTAGCCGTTAGCTTCGCAGCTGAATGAACAACGTGAACACACGCCGGTTGTTAGCCTTCACATATTTTACTCTTTAAAATATCCACTTATCCGTAACCTCACTCTTTGGTATAACAACTAACACCATTTATAACATATTCTTTCATAATAAACCCACCTAATGAATGTAATAAAACGTATATTTATGTCACTACCAACCTTCAGCTTCTGCAGCTCTATCACTTCGGCCATCTTTCTTTGTTGTTGTATCACTTCCTCCAATCAAGCAGGAGCCGCTCTCCTTCTGAACAGCGGCGCGAACCCACAGCGCCGCCCGCAGGACGGACTGACACACTGCAGGCCTGCGTGGAAACAGCTCTCCTCAAACATTTCATCTTGTTGAAAAATAAATTGAAATTACCTCGAAGGGATTTAACAATCTCTGACACTCAGTTGAAGTATGTTAGCAGCGACAAAAATGATAATTGCAGTTAATATAAGTGGTGGAGGAGGAAGAATTCAGACCCATTATTTAAGTAAGTAAAAGTCCCACATTGAAAATGTTACTTAATAAGTAATATGTACTTAACGTACTAAAAGGAAAAGTACTAATTTAGATAGTTGTTATGTTTTAATTTCTGCGAGCTGGCAAATATCTGGACCATCTCACATGGGATCCTGTAAAACATTGACAAAAAACAAAAGAGCAAAATAATCACGTTATAATGTAAGTACTTCTATATTCTTTCTAATAACACATATATGTAGGGAAAGAAATTCCAAAATGCCCATTAGTTAACAGAAAACACAGGATTAGACCCTGCCATTGCTCTCAAACTGAGGGACTGGTCTGGGACTTAACGATAAATATTAACTCAGTTTGAGTTGTTAAACTGCTGTGATGCTGCTAAAGGTGCATTAACTATGTTTTTGAATACAGTGGTAAAACTGAATGAAAACACTTTATGAGCTCACCCTGTCTGATCTTTAGTAACATGAGGAAAATGGTCCTGCAATTGATAACCTATATTAGCTACTTAGCAATATTGTTGTTTTAGAGACAAGAAATTGTCTCTAAAACAATTTCTTCTGCCAGCACAAATATTTTACTTAAAATACTCATAATGTAAAATTTCAACATTGCAAATGAAGCACATTTTTTATTCCTGAGGGACGTTCCAATGTTGAGGCCCAGGGCAATTAGTCCTACTATACCCCTCACTCCTACACCTCTACACAAGTTAAGCAAGTATATTTTTAGTAGTAATAGCAAAATATTTACACTCTACCACAACATGGACTTCTAAAATGCTGTGTATGTAGTTTTCTGTCCCAGTTTTTCTTTGAAGGAGAGAAGATGAAAGCAGTGAGACGGTCCACATTCTTGTTGCTAGGCAACAAGGTGCTAAACATAACTCATTGGGCATCATGTTGTTGTCGCATGCAACAGATAGATGACGGTGTGTAAAAATGACAAGTTGTGGTTTTACATTTGGTTATTTGCTAAATTGTTTCTTGGACTGGAGCAGTGAGTGAATGTTGTTATCTTTGGAGAGAGCCAAGCCAGCTGTTTACCTCTGTTTCTACAACAACAACAAACAACAAGTGAAGAAGCCTGTTTCCCAAAAGGTCAAACTATAATCTATTTCTGTTATTTTTTTCTTAACCTTTATCAACCATGAGTGCTGACCAAACTGTTTCCAAAACCTTGACTCAAACCCTCAGACAGGTTTAATTCTTGTTATATTGCCTGATGCACTCAGCAGTGCTTTTTTGACTGAATTGAGATGACCTATTTTACAGTATGCTTGCAATAATTTAGTATATTAATACACTATGTAAGGTCAGTGCACATTAGAGATGCGGCCTGCAGGGGAGTTACCGGGTTCATGGTCAACATGATGACAGATGGAACAGGTCTGGGCAGGATTTGCTGTGAATGCTGACATTGTTTAAAAAGAGGTTTAAACAGTGTCACAGTTTGGCATATGATATGGAGACAAAAAATCTTTCAACAAAGTGACTTTATAGTTCTGGGGGTAGAAGGACAAAGCCGGATGAATTTAGGGAGTCACAAGTGCTTCAGTAATCCTCATTAATGTTGCATTCCTCCCATTTTTTTCTCCACAGAAAAAGCCTCTCTTAGCAGAATGTGTGACCTACTGTTGTAATGACACAGAAATGAACAACTCCCTGTGACACTTAAATATTACACATACTATATTTGATCCCATATGTAAGTTTAGTGCATTTGCAGCTAACGTAACTTCTATGAATATAAATAAAAGTTCTTTTAGAGTTTTCTGTAATTTGGATTTGACGGCAGATAATCATTAGTAGCAACATGTATTTGAGAGTAAATCCGCACATAATTAGGAGTAATTAGAGAGGCAGCCCAAAATGGGTCAGGTGACTTCAGCAAAGATTTAGGTGACCGTTCATATTGTATTTGAAAGCACATTCTTTGTGGAACTAGCACCCAAAAATGAATGACACTGGAACCCTCATGATTCTGACTCCTGTTGTATTGCACAGAGCTTTAAACATTTAATTAATTGTTCCCTTCAAATTTATACATTTTTTTGTTTGTTTTTAATATATCTATAAAGGTTTTATAATATGGCCAAATTAGCATCAGAAAATAATAATCACAGAAGCTTTGGTATTAATGTAAAATATTCACTTAACTCCAGATAAAATTCCTCTTTACATGTATATAATCACATGGTTCAATACATTTTTATTTAAGTAAAATTATAAACTACATAATGTAAAAATCCTCCATGGATTTGAAAGTCCTGCAGAAGTATGATCAGCGGCAGCAAATGTACTTAAAATATTGAAATTAAAAGTGCTTGTTGTGAAGAAAGAAAAATGCCCATGTGTATATTACATTATTATATATTATATTTTTTAATAGTTAATAATTATGCATTAGTATGTAAACAGCATTTTAATATTTAAGAAGCTAATTTTAACACGTTTAATTAGTTTGGTAATTTCTATAACAATGCATCATAATTTAAGAGCTTATTTTACATTTTTTGTATAATTTACAAAGTAGCCAGTAAATTTAGCTGTAAAATACATGCGTGTCGAAAAGTGCAATAGAAGCATAAAGTAGCATAAAATGAAAATATGTAAGTACAGAAATTGAGTGATTGTACTATAACACTTTTCACATGTATATCACTGACAGCTTAATAAGGTTCACATGTGCAGGATGTTTATTTAAAACATTTTTTATTTTGTTCGGTTTATGCACACTCGAGCATGTCTCGTGGTCCACTCTGTTGCCATGCAAAAGTACATGTGGGATTTTTGCATTTCTTATGTGATTATGTGGCACTTTCTCTACTGTACGTACACGTGTAATCCCCAAGACATGCTTTTACTGTAAATACACAAATCATTATCAGTCCAGGTGCCCCTAAGTCTCACTGAAGGAGGGGCGGGCTGCAGGGCGTTTCTTCTGCTAATACACTCTGTGAGGTCAAATATCAGAGAGTTTATAAACCCAGTTTTCTGCTGCCTGCTGCTCACAAAAGGGATTTTTCACAAATAGGAGGTGCACCGACAATGTGGACGACTACTATACTGTTGGTGCTGCTGGCAGTAACTTCACACACTGTGGCAAGTAAGTACAGAAAATATATTTTTAAACAGAATCTTAGGTCAGAAAGATGATGAAAAGAATTCAGATGCTAGCATATACTATTGGATTGAATGAGTCTCAAACTGCAGTTTTAAACATAATCCAACTTCAAATACAGGAAAATAGCTCCTGTGAGTGTTTTATTATAATATATTATACAATTGGATTATTTGTTCATACTTGTATTTGTTATAACTATGAACAAAGTAGAATGACATGGAAATATTCACATAAAGTACAAGTAGTTGAAACTTTGAGTACTGCAGGACAGCAGTCAGAATGCTGTTATACTGTGTACATTTAATCAGAAGACTTACATTTTTGTTTCTTTTTCATCATTGTCTCAAACCATCCCAACCAACTCCATTTCAGACATCTAAAGCCTTGGCACACTGTTTAATATGTTGTTTAATATGTCTGTCTGATGAAAGTTAAGCCTTTAAAATGTATATGTGCTCCATGAGACATAATCGTCATCAAATCCACTCTGATTTCTTTCCTTACATGGAGGTAAATCAATGTTTATGGTAAGGTGCACTGGATTTTAGCACCTCCAGCAGAGACACATGTTTTTTGGCCTATAGGATCTGTGTCTAGTTTAAGACCCAGTTTCACGTTTTTCCCATGACCTCTTTATTCAACCATGCATGACAGTAAATGACACAGAATTTGACCTTTGTAAAGCAAAGTACCAGCTATTTATCTTAATCCTTTTATTTTTAAGTAAATTTAAGTTCACATCTTTTTCAAAAGCAAAAATCACATGCCCATGCATCATGCACAATGTAAGAGTTACTGGTCATTATAATAATTCCCTGAAACTATGTTTTAATATTCTGGGGAGCATATGATAAAACAACACTTGCATTTCAAGAAACATACTCATTTAATCTGTGTAATATTTTTAAGAAATTGAGTATCAGAGAAATTAGTCATTTAGCCACCTGCCTCTGCAGAATCTCACCCTATATTATATTTCTTTTTATAATTCAACATTCAACAGTTGGCATTGGACATCTAAAAGCCAAACCATGAGTGGAGTGAATAAAGACAGTGATCACTGTGGAATAATCCAGACAGAATTTATAATCACATTCAAAATGTGATTTAGCAAATTACCTCTGTTGTCTGCCATCAGGTTTGGACTGTGTTGATGCTTAATCCAAATTCAGCCCTGTGACAATGTTAATCTGTGTTAAAAAATCATGCACATGCACACACACACACTCGCACACGCTCAGCTGAGCATCACATGAGAGGGATTGGAGGGATTTGAGATTAATATTAGCAATAAAACACCCTAATCTGGTGGGCACCTACAGTCACCATTACCAGATCACTGATGAGGAAAAGTTACTATGACATAAAAGTATATACACAGGATATATTTCTAAAGACTAACAGTGGGGTTTGGAAAAGATGCATATAAAAATGCACTGACTTTTTAGAGAAGATTTTTCCACTGTTCATTTATCCCATAATGTAAATTCTGTGCCATGTCTCCGATACTTTAATTTTACCATAAACTGTAAATATATGTTCTGAGAAGTGTTCATTTTATGATTTCAATATATTTCTTTTTGATATTTCAGAGCCCAAAAACCGCTTCACTCGCTATCCATCATGGAACACTAAGATGTACCCAGTCTGGAAAGATGGAGACCCACGATACAAAGACTCCTGGAGAGGTACTTATGTCAAAATAATGCTGGTATAATCAAACGCTTTCAAATGCCCATACTTTCTTACTTTACTTAGTTTTTTAAAAAGTATTCTAGGTCATTTTATTAGGTAGTGGCAGTAGTAAAATGACAGGAGTTGTGGGGAAGAGAAAGCTGGGTGACATACGACAAAGGGTGTGATTATATGGTCTTGTTAAACCTCCAGGCCATCAGAACACATTGTTACTTTAAACACACATCTGAATTTATTATCACTTAACATATTTGTTTACCTGTTTTCTTTTACAGGTGGAAGAGTGACTTTCAATGTAGGGAACGATTCGCCAACCCTGACCGGGGCCAAAGTTACCTTCACCATTGACTTGCAGTTCCCACACAACCAGAAGGTGCAGCCTAACGGAGAAGTTGTCTGGGCTGAGGACTGCATAGTCAATGGTAACGCACCGTGCACACACTTACACACAGTGGTGACATGCGATGTACACGATGTTGGTTCACCACTTTTGTCTCAATATCTCAATATTAGATTGATCGCCATTAAATTTGGTACAGATGTTCATGGTCCCTAGAGAATGAATCCAATTGATTTTGGAGATCACCTGACCTTTCTTCTAGCACTACCATGAGGTTGACATTTGTGGTTTTGATTGAAATGTCTCAACAACTATTAGATGGATTGCTGTGTAATTTGGTACACAAATTCATGGTGCTCAGAGGGTGAAACCTAAGGAGTTTAGGGATCCCTTGACTTTTCCTCTAGCGCCACCAGCAGGTCAAAGTTTACCCTTACCCAGTGAACTACCTCAACAACTACTAATAGGATTGGCAAAGAGCTTGATACAGACATTCGAGGCTCCCAGGGGATGAATCCTAATGACTTTGGTGATCTGTTTACTTTTGTTCTTGCTCCACCATGAGGTTGACAGTTGTGGTTTTGAGTTAAATATCTAAACAACTACTGGAAATAGAAATAAAAATAGAAACCATACAACAAGAGCTATTAAATTATTGTGTTTAGAAGCAGCAAAGTCAGCAACGTGTAATTTCCTCAATATAAGAATAATATGATATTATCTACCATGACAACATACACTAGAGTGGTATATAAGTTATAATAAGTAATAATACTTTGAATATTTGTCTGTGGTGATAGAAATGCAAAATAGTATATAATGTAATAAAAAGAATAATGTACAGTATTAACATAATGGTTATCTAGGCTCTTAGTCTTTTTTAAACCTCTTTGGCACAATCTCTAACAGCCACAATGTTCTTGCTCCTGCTACAGGAACAAAATACCACGAGTCTGAGCCAGTGTACCCAGCACAGAACACTGACTGGGAAGCTGTTTTTCCTGATGGGACACCAGTTAAGAAGGACAAGAAGCCGAGCTATGTGTTTGTCTGGAAGACCTGGGGTGAGTGGAGCGTTTGTCTCTTATCAAATGTCTCTAAACTATGTTTTTTCTGAGGGTCAGAGAGTTTCTTGCAACACATGCCATGACCTGAAATGTGACCCGGGATGGATTAAACATGAGCCCTATCATATGCACTCATGTGAGCTTTTAGATCTTCTTTTCAAGCTACCTCTGACCATGAACACGTCTCACAGAATGTTTGGCATTTAAACCCAACACATTATTTGAAATCATACGTAGATATTTGTAGTGAAGAGACAGGAAAGTGAATCTCAAGTGTGTCTCTGGATGCTCATTTGGCAGGTCAGTATTGGCAGGTGGCAGACGGCTCCTCCTCCTCTCTGACCATCGATACAGACGACATCCCACTGGGCTCCTACACCATGGACATCGTTATCTACCACTACCGCAGCAAAGAGAAGTTCATTCCTCTGGGATATGCCACCACTCAGTTCTCCATCACTGGTTAGTTAGGGAAAAGTTATTGTTTTTTTTTGTTTTTTTTGGTTGGTTTTCATCTGCAGTCCCTTACAAAGTCATTCTAAAAAATAATATAAGAATGTCAGATGCACTACAATAATAAAAAGAGAAGAGAATATTAATGTTACTTAAAAACATCAGTCAAACCACCTATACTTTAAGGTATGAATTCCAACTGTTGCCCATTTATTTGTTGTTCTCCTCAGATCAAATCCCCTTCGCTGTCTCCCTGGACCAAGTGAACGACATCGTGGCCGGGGACATGCGCTTCATCCAGAACAGGGCGATCGCCTTCACCATCACCCTCCACGACCCCAGCGAGTACCTCAGCAACGCAGACATCACCTTCAACTGGGACTTTGGGGATGCAAGTGGAGCTCTCATATCCAGAGAGCTGACTGTCACGCACACCTACATCAGCTCTGGCTCATTCAAGCCTCAGGTGGTGATCCAGGCGGTCATCCCGGATAAGGCCTGCGATCCACCAGTTGATCCTCCAACCAAGGCCCCTGGTCCACATACTGATCAGGGCACCACAGGTAAGGAACCAAAATCAAAGGATTTGGTTTATATAATAACAAAACTCAGTCACTGCTCCTGGCTCCCATCGTTTTTCCACTTGTTTTAGTACAAATTAAACAAATGAGATGTAATGATCCACCTGTTCCACTCTTTATGCTAAGCTAAGCTAACCAGCTGTTGGCTATAGCTTCATACTGAACAGACAGGCATGACAGTGGTGTCAATGTTATCTAACTCTCAGCAAGAAAACGAAGAAGCATATTTCATATTTCACAACTTTGAAAGCTAAAATATTTCATAATTAGTACGTGGTTATGACACCCCACCTCTGCATAGTGAACATACATTGTATTAAACCATGGACCTAACCCATCAACCTTGTCTGTGTGCAGTGAAAGCTCCTGCACTGGCGTCTGCTCTCCCTCTGCTGATTTCCACCAAGTCAACTGGTCTGAATGTCAATATGGTGCCGTCAGACACAGAGGAGGACAACACTGAGGATGAGGCCTCCACCGCCTCCACCACCCAGCCTGCCCAGGAAACACCCACAGTGACCAAGACTCCCTCCCCCATCAACCAGGACACGCCAGCTGACAGTGACGCAGGGACTGGGCTTGCAGCAGGTACTTGCTTAAACATAATTAAGGTAGAATTTTACCACATGATCATCAACAGAGGTAACACGTGCAACAACAGCAACGAGTCCTTTTTAACTGCAAAATACTGATCTCATATCTGCTGACGGACTGCCGTGATGATGAACCAGATAGCAGAACCAGCCAACTTCCTAAAATGTAAATATGATGCAAATCTCTAATGAGGCTCTGTCATAACACAAGCGGAGCAAGATGACTTCACAATGAATTGCTTTGTGTAGTGTACTAAGGGACAAAGAAGAAGAAAATTATTGGGTTGGGGTATTATATTTAGTAAAGAAGCCAACCCCTCCTCAGTGTTATTAAAAGAGTCCTCCACTGATTTGGCATTACACTCCCACAACATTGACAGACAGGAAAAGAATATAAATTGATGCTAACTCTATAGAGGAAGTTTCATTTTGGGTTCCACATAGAAACCAAAGTAAATAAAAGTAAAAAACCAAAACTATGTATTAGGCGATGTTAATTACCTGTGGTTGTTGTCCTCACCAGGTACAAAGCGAACAGTGACCCTGACAGGCCAAGCTGCAGTGGTAGTAGTTGCTAAGAGGGAGGCTAATGAGAAACCCTCCGATGATGACTGTGTGATTTATCGATACGGCTCCTTCTGCACCGGCATTGAAGTGTTTGGTGAGTTACCTTTCATTAGTGCTATGTTTATCAAAATGTGAAATGATCATCAGTGACCATCCTTGACCCTGTGGCCCTTGTTTTTATTTTCAGAGGGCATTGAAACAGTACAGATAGTACAAATGGACAACGCTATTGTCGAAACACCAGAAATGGACAAAAATGTTGTGGATATCACCGTTACCTGCCAGGGAAGGTGAATGCTCCTGTACTTTACTTTCTCATCCAGAGCAGTTCATTATTTATTCTTACTCACTCGAGCATCGTCTCCATCTTTCTCCAGCCGTCCCAAGGAGGTGTGCAGTGTGATTCTGGACGCAGAGTGCTTGAGGCCAATTCACACAGCGTGCAACATGGTGGAGCCCTCAAAGGAGTGCCAGCTGGTGTTACGTCACTTCTTCAATGACTCTGGTGTCTACTGCATCAATGTGTCCATGGCCAATGATGTCAGTTTAGCTGTCACCAGTGCCAAACTCAACCTTGAGACGGGTACGCGACATAACCGACATTGGTTTGACAATACATTTCTGTTTCATCCTGCATACTGATGGTGTTATCTTTGTCTCAGGTCCCAGTGTTTCCTCCTCTGGCACCATCGCCATGTTGTTGGGTGTCGTGGTACTTGTTCTAGCTGTGGGAATAGTGGCATATTCCTACAAGTGAGTAACTTGCAGTATCATTTGATAAACTGTGATTACGAAAATATAGATTGTAGTCACTTTGATCAAACTTGTCTGTATTCTGTGCTCCACTCTCCAGGCGTTTCAAGTCCTACCGACCTCTGAAGGAAGACGTGATCGCGTCTGGAGGACAGCAGCTCGGCCGGGATCAGAGCTGCTCCGGAGCCTCGATCTTCTGGAACCTCCTGAACAGACGAGGAACCGTCGACAACTGCCCTCTGCTGCAGGACAGGCCTGTTTGAACCATCACTAGCCTTGCACAACCAAATACAAAAACAAGCAGCATCTGATTTGCAGGTTACAGGCACCTGAGATGTCTTTTTGTACTTTTTGTTTGTTTTGTTTTTTTTACATATTTTCCAAAATGAGAAACTTCATGACGTTTAAATCAAAAATTAATTGGAACTATACCTTAGTAATACTCTGATCTTTTGTACCGACTTGAAGCAAGTTTGGTAGAAAAAGTGTCTGATTTTATTTGGACAAAACGAATTTGAATGTTTTTCCAATAAACTTTGCTCAAACATTCATGTGCTTTTACTCATTCATCATACATTTCTAACAGTGTAAGGCAGCTACACTGATGGTGTGGCTGGGCTTCTTGATTTACTATTGAAGACTTGAGACAGACTTCCTGTCCCTTCAAAACAATCTGATGCCGGACTCATCCATGTTTTACAAAGCTAACAAACAAGAGGACTCCTCCCTTTCCTCCTCTGTGAGTTAGGATAAATAAATGCTCTGGGGTAATTGCAGGTTTATGATCTTGTCATACTTTGTTGAAGATAACTGCCACAAATCATGCTTTCACTTCTGAACCATGCATAGAAACCGAAAATTATAGAGCTTCAGATTCAGTTCGGACCTGAACATGTAATCCTTCATAAAATAAACTTTCCCACATATCTAAATGCTAATTGAAAAACAATTTGAGAAGCATTGGATTAGTGCTGAGGAAACCCATTTGTTCAACATGCTGCCTTATTTCAATTACACACTGTGATACTTAAATATTTAGAGGTATAATGTTCACCCTGTATGAATACTGAGAAACTTAAACATGGTGTTATAAGTCTACCACTTGATTCAATGTATTTCAACATTTTGTAGGACTATTCACTCATGACCATTAGTCAACATAAACAGTATATTTAGGTTGAATCAACAAAGGACAAACAACTTCACATGTCACAGGAATTTTATTTAGAACAGAGCCAAACTTGACATTTTCAGGAGGTTTAATCTGAGCAGCCAAACTTGTAATCGATAGACAAACATTTCTGTTTGGAATGCATTCAAGAACACATTGATATCAACAATTTCCTGTTCAACTAATGCCTTTGTGTCCCTTTTAATATTCCTCTCCTTCCTCCTCTCCCTCACCCTCAATAGAGTCAACTCCGACCTCCTCATAATCCTTCTCCAGGGCTGCCATGTCCTCTCTGGCCTCAGAGAACTCTCCCTCCTCCATACCCTCACCCACATACCAGTGAACAAAGGCACGCTTAGCGTACATCAGATCAAACTTGTGGTCAAGGCGAGCCCAGGCCTCTGCAATAGCAGTGGTGTTGCTCAGCATGCAAACGGCCCTCTGGACCTTTGCCAAGTCTCCACCAGGAACCACAGTGGGTGGCTGGTAGTTGATGCCAACCTTGAAACCAGTGGGGCACCAGTCCACAAACTGGATGGTACGCTTGGTCTTGATGGTGGCAATGGCAGCATTAACATCTTTTGGCACCACATCACCACGGAACAGCAGGCAGCAAGCCATGTATTTACCGTGGCGAGGGTCACATTTCACCATCTGGTTGGCTGGCTCAAAGCAGGCGTTTGTGATCTCAGCCACTGAGAGCTGCTCATGGTACGCCTTCTCAGCAGAGATGACAGGGGCATATGTGGCCAGAGGGAAGTGGATACGGGGATATGGCACCAAGTTGGTCTGGAACTCGGTCAGATCAACATTGAGGGCACCATCGAAACGAAGGGAAGCAGTGATGGAGGACACAATCTGACTGATCAACCTGTTCAGGTTGGTGTAGGTAGGACGCTCGATATCGAGGTTCCTACGGCAGATATCGTAGATGGCCTCGTTATCTACCATGAAGGCGCAGTCGGAGTGCTCCAGGGTGGTGTGGGTGGTCAGGATGGAGTTGTAGGGCTCCACCACAGCGGTGGACACCTGGGGAGCTGGGTAGATGGAGAACTCCAGCTTGGACTTCTTGCCGTAGTCGACAGACAGACGCTCCATCAGCAGGGAGGTGAAACCAGAGCCGGTGCCACCTCCGAAGCTATGGAAAACCAGGAAGCCCTGAAGGCCAGTGCACTGGTCGGCCTGAGGACAGAGAGGAGGACACACTGATCAAATATATGAGATACACTATTATGATCTAGTTTGATATTTTGAGTCAAAAATAGGAATGAACTCCTCCTGATGTTAAGTTACCCACCAGTTTGCGGATCCTGTCCAGCACCAGGTCAATGATCTCTTTGCCGATGGTGTAGTGTCCACGGGCGTAGTTGTTGGCAGCATCCTCCTTACCGGTGATCAGCTGCTCAGGGTGGAACAGCTGGCGGTAGGTCCCAGTACGCACTTCATCTGCAGAGAAAAAAAAAACACACATATTGAATCAGTTGTTGTAAAAGTATTTTCCCATGTTACTTTAATTTGCCTAAATGAATGTTCAGGGAAAAGTGATGACACTCACCGATGACAGTGGGCTCCAGGTCAACAAACACAGCCCTGGGGACGTGCTTTCCAGCTCCAGTCTCACTGAAGAAGGTGTTGAAGGAATCGTCTCCTCCTCCAAGAGTCTTGTCACTGGGCATCTGTCCGTCCGGCTGGATCCCATGTTCCAGGCAGTAAAGCTCCCAGCAGGCATTGCCAATCTGGACACCAGCCTGACCAACATGGATGGAGATACACTCACGCTATGGAAAGAGAAAACAAGAGGTTACTTATAGTTAATAACATTAATAACAGTTATACCTTTTACATCTATATACTACAATCACTGTGACATAAATGCTTCTAGAAACTGGAAACATTCAGTTGCTCCCCCTATCTGATCTTAATAGGCAGTGCAGCAGGAGGCACCTCCCTGCACCACAATCCGCAGGGGACAAAAATGCCTGACAGCAGCCCCCGCAGAGGCAGGACGTTTCTCTCGTCTTTCCTCCAGTCTTTTTTGTCCTCTTGTCTTTTTGTCCTGCGCTAGCTCCTCTTTTGCAAGCATAAGCACGAATGCAAATTCATTTGCATGAGCACAGGCGCATGCACGACAGTCTGGAATATTCCACTTGCTCTTGTGCCTCAATGATACACAATCACAGCTGATGCTTGAGGAAAGAAAATTTAAGTGCTTAATCACAACTCTTATTTTAGACAAAAGAAATCTTCATACAGTCCAAATTACATTATCAATTTGGATAAAATCATATTTAAAATGTTTAAAGTGACCATTAATATTTCTCCTCATGTTTAAAGCAGAACCACTATGTTACATCATTTTGTTTTCTTAACCACGGATGAAATTAAAAATATATTCACTGCTGTATCTTAAAAAATTAAAAATGATAGCTGCAATGTAATGTCTCCATCCATCTCCACCCAATCTGCCCCTCCCTGCCTGAAGACAGGGTAGGGCATTCGTAAGGTGTCCGATTTGGACGATTTCACACATAAAATTTGACAAAAATAAAAACACAAAGACAAGTAATACCACTGGTGTATGAAGAAAAACATATTCATCTTCCAGACGGTATGTTAGTGGAGCCTGAATGACGCCAGTGCATTGTTCTCATCGCTCTACACAATGACAATCACATCGTCCCACTGCTGCAGACCAATCTTTGTGCCAACAGCAAAATTATATTATTCAATTACATCCATAAATATACACACAGGAAATGTTCATAATGATGTAAAACGAGTCAAAATCTGTCTATCAATTAAAATACAGAGGTTATCTGAAGATGGAAAACCTTTGACGACGTCGTGTAACAGCCGAGATGCCGGCTCCTGCTGCTACTGCTGCTTAATTCCCTTAATTTCTACCTCACAAAAATTGTTTCAGGCTGATAGAGGTGTAAAATGAACTTACCATTTTTTCGTTTGAGGTTCAAAGAGGAAGAGGAGGACGAAAAAATGTGAAGAAAAAGGCTTTTTAAAAACGGTGTTTGCGTCGCGTGTTGTACCCAACGGGGTCGATGCAACAACTGCTGAATGGGAGGGCGGTGCTACCAGATTTATACATGCAGGGCAGGGGATTTGCTCCTGTGCACAGATAAAAAAAAAAGGTTGTACTACCACCATTTGGTAGTGCCATTCAATCCTGCTTTTACTGTAAATATGGCATTCAATTTTAACACAGTTATATTACTGTAAAACCTGCTTAGTGTATTGAAATAAGATGAATATAGGCCTGGTGTTTTAAGTAACTGGTTGCCAGTGGTTAAGAATATTAAAAATGTATGATGGGAATGTTTTTTTTTTTTTTTTTTTTTTTAACTTTATCCTTGCTGCAGTGTGACTTCCTTTACTGCATTTTTTTTGTAAGCAGAAATTGGAGGCCTTTTTTTTTTTTTTTTTTTTTTTAAATAAAGGCCTAGTTCCAACAAAGCTAATTTATTATGCATGCATAGGAATGAGAAACGATTGCATACATCTGCTCTATAGGTGTGGCAAGCTGCAAATCAATAAAAAACAGCCCTGTTTGTGTGAGGGGCATGTGTTGGGGTATATATGAGCAAATTCTGTATAAAAATCTGTGACTTGTCTGCAAACGCTCGATGCACCTGACGCATAATAAATGATGCAAAATGGCTGAATGCTTCTGCTGCACAAGATGCTACCATCTCACTCGAGCAGCCAGGCGTTAATGTTGCCGAGGCCTGCCATGGTATCCGCCTGGCATGCCAGCTCTCTAGCTCTCCTCCTTCTTTGTCCTAGATTCTCTGCAATGATGTCATTCAGTGGGTCGATCACGTGGCTGCCTGTCTCTCTGTGTGCCTCTGCTGTTCAGCTGGACTGAAGCTGGCGTGCGCTTCCTCTGGCTCTCTCCTGTTTGAGGAACTGAAATTGCCTGAATTGCAGTTTATGTGACATAATGGGTGAGCCATAATGGTCTGCACAGTTTGGCTTAAGCAGTTATAGCATTAAAACCCAGCTTTCTAAGCTGTCTTGAATCCTGCAAGGAATGATGAAAAGAGGATTGCATAGTGTTTCTGACATAATCAGTACTATCTAAGTCTACTGTGAGTCTGGAAAAATCCTCACTGCAGCAGAAAACAAACACTGTGCTTTTTGTCATAACAACCACCAAAATGTGGGAATACTCATCATTTATTCAAAAGGGAAGTGAGGATGTATGATTTACAACCAGCCTTTCGTGGTTGCTGTACTCAGTGTGAACTGCAGGGGATGAAAGAGAAGGACAGGAAACAGCCATGGCTCCCAGCCAGGGCTTCTTGAGAGAACATTCTCCACTCCCCCTCGTCGTCGTCGTCCTCCTCCT